AGAGAGAGAGAGAGAAAGAAGGAGACACAGAGAGAGAGAGAAAGAGACACACACACACACACACATACACACACACACACACATACACACACACACACACACACACACATATACACACGGAAGCATAATCACATCACAGATGTTGAGACATACATGTACAGCCAATTACATCACATTCGATGTTCTTACTTTTTCTTCTTCTTGATCAGACAACAGGCGATGACCAGAACGACGACTATGATGAAGACAGCACAAGAGGCAGGCAGAAGCACTTGGTAGACCAGGGAGTTGTCTGACAAAGTCATGTCGTTCCTGAAAGTATGGAAATTAGACAAGTTTAATTTTAGTTTAAAGTTTTGTGGTACTTGCAACACAACAAGATCTATAAGTGCCGAAAGATTAGGGGTGGTACGAGACAATAACAGACTCAAATTAGAAGGAGGAGAGATATGGATGATGGATGTCCCATGGGAAAGGAGCAAATCGTACCAGAACAAGCGCCAACTACCCATGGATTTATAAAAATAAGTTTCAATTTGTAAATCACTTCTTTATGACAGGGTGAATTTAAAGGCATGGCTCAGAACGGACCAATCTTCAAGATATAGACATATGATTGGATTTTAGCGGGACGATTTTCATAAAAATGCTCTATTTTGTCACTGTGTTTGTATTGTTTATGAGACAACATTTGTCTGTGACTCTTACCATAACTCTACAGCACGAAAGTGGTGGATAGAAGATCAAGTTTATGAATCGAGAGACAGTCAAATAGAAAGGTCCGAGAGATAAGGGTGGGTAGAGGGCAAAGAAAAAGGAAGAGAGCGAGCGAGAGAGAGGGGGGTGTGTGTGAGAGAGAGAGAGAGAGAGAGAGAGAGAGAGAGAGAGAGAGAGAGAGAGAGAGAGAGAGAGAGAGAGAGAGAGAGAGAGGGAGAGAGGAGACCTCCAGTAATATCAATCAGCACGCTGATTCATCCAACATCGTGGGAAGAACATGAAAAAAAAGATAAAAGTAAAACATTAAAAAGAAGTAGGCAGAGAAAACCACGTCCAACCACTCTCACAAACCACCTGTAAGTGGGGGTAAACTAGGGCTGTGCGTGAGGAGAGTGGAGAGTAATGAAGAGTCAAAACTCGAGAACTTTCAGAAGAAGGTTCAAGGGAGGGGTGGCTTAAAGTACACAACAAGTGCATACGTCATCAGAGCACAAGCACTACTAGCAGCAGGCTCCCAGCTCTCACGCCCGACACAAGCCACAGGTTTGAGTGTCCCACTGACTCTACCGTGGTAACCTTCACTATGAACACCCCGCTAACGATGAAAACCTCTCACAACACCTGCAAATGATGGAACTAGGCAAGACGAAGAAGAGCATCTCCGAAAAAAAAGAACAAACAAACAAAAAACCCAACCTTAAGCAAACGATAAATACAATTATCAAAACAAAACAATAAAAAAAATTTTTTTTTAAAACC